CCTGAAGGGCTAGGTTGTTCATTTTGCACCTTGTCTTTCTTCCTTGGAGTCTGGACTTGGGGGCAATCTTGATAGTCATCGTGGATCGGATTAGCCTGTGGTCTGTCCAGCAGTCGTCAGCACCTGTCATGGCTCTTGTGAGGAGCACGTCACGGCGGTCTCTGGCACGTGTGATTATGTAGTCTAAGAGGTGCCAATGCTTTGACTGGGGGTGCTTCCATGATGCCTTGAGCTTGTTTTTCTGGTGGAAGAGAGTGTTGGTGATGACAAGATTGTGTTCCACACATTTGGTGAGAAGCAGGATGCCATTCGAGTTGCTGTTTCCAATCCCGTCTTTTCCTAAGGCCCCTGGCCACAGGTCGAAGTCTCGCCCAGGAGGATGATTTTGTCCTCCTTTGGTATCTTCGATAGGACAGTGTCCAGCTGACAGTAAAAATTTTCCTTGATGTCTTCATCAGCATCTAGTGTTAGTGCATAGGCACTTATAATGGTTGCCTGTTGGTTTTTGGCAAGTTCAATTCGGAGGGTTGAGAGTAGTTTGTTGATGCGTGAGTGCTTCGGTCAGATGTTTCACCAGATCATTTCTGATAGCAAAGCCAACTCCATGCATTATTTGGTCTTCTTCGGGCAGTCCCTTCCAGAAGAAGGTCTAGCCTCCTTTTTCTTCCTTCAACTGTCCCTCTCCTGCTCTCCGGGTCTCCTTAAGGGCTGCTATGTCGATGTTAAAGCGTCCCAACTCCCTTGCAATGATAGCAGTTCTGCATTCGAGGTGTTCACTGTCAGTGTTGTCCATCAGTGTCCATACGTTCCATGTACTAAAGTTCATTTTTCTCTTTAGGCTGCAGGGTGGTGACCCCACTGGACGCGGCAGTCCAGTCAGAGGTAGACTATGTTTAGGGTGCCTTTTCTAGCCCCCCTCTCCATGTGGGGTGAGCAGAGTGGATCCTCAAAAGGGCTGCTCAGTCGTGGATACAGCTGCCGAAGTACTCAACTGCCTCGGACCTTGAGGTAGAACGACTGAGTCCATACCTACCGCCCATATGCCAGTCTGTGACTAGGGGCTTCCAGATTTCACAGTCCTGCCTCCATCGCCACTCGCTGATCGCCATGGGACTTCTGTTGGTTTGTTTTTATTTTCTTTGGAAAACGCCTGTGCGTGGGTTTTTTTAATGTGTGGAGGTCAGTGCACACTGATCAACACACAGACTTCACAGAGTGAGGTTCCACTGGTGGTGTAGTTTAACACAATGACTGTGGCTTCTCAGTCTGTTGCAGCCTTCTTCCGCTTTCACAGCCGTTGTAACATGTACCGTGTTATCCACCGTCTGCTCCGCCGTTGAAGTCTTTGGGTCTTCGGACTGTGCTTGGTCTGGAACCTCCCCGGCGGCCACTCCTGGGAGTGCACGACTCCAGTTGTTTTGCCCGCAGGTTCATTGGAACATGCAAGCCCTCTCACCACAACAAGGTGACAGTCCATCGAGGGGGCCTAAACATACTATGAACTTTAGTGCCTGTGCGCTAACATGGAAATGGAAGGGACCCATCACACCAAGAGCCCTTCCACACAACCCTATATCCTAGAATATCAAGGCAGAAAATCCCACAATATCTGTTTTGAGCTGGGTTATCTGAATCCACACTCAGATAATGTGGGATTTCCTGCCTTGATATTCTGGGATATAGGGCTGTGTGGAAGGGCTCCCAGATAACCCAGTTCAAAGCAGATATTGTGGTATTTCCTACCTTGATATTCTGGGATATAGGGCTGTGTGGAAGGGCTCCAAATGGGAATATTGTGAAATTCAGAGCTATTGGTTGTTTTTACCCATTAATAGTTATGGATGTGAGAATAATGGGAAGACGACAGACTGGCAGTGGGATGCACATGACAATGTACAATAGCCTGCCAGCCTGCCCACCCAAAGTGACAGAGCTCTGCTGTAAACCAAGATTCTGAAAGCTCTGGAAGTATGCTAAATGTACAATAGGTAGGAATGCATTAGAATAACTGACCACCTATATTAATGATGGTTTTAAATATTCAATGATTGCACAAGTGACATTATATTTGTTTTTATTAGAGATGCAACTATAAAGAATAGTTAACATGTGTTGCAATTCTAAAGCTTTCAGAAGTATTCAGAGCCACCGCAGATTTTGCCCAACAATAAATTATATCTTATGGTATGAAAGATATTAGGAAAGCTTCTAGACAGTACTTGTTGAGTAAGCTCTTTCACACATTTCCACACTATAAACATTTAATGAGATTGGCTCCCAACAGGCTGTTTACTACCATCCATTTATTTCATGGCACTTTATTTGCAATGCAGAAGCAAGATAGAGCAAAGGTTATTTGAGGTGGTTCTCCAATGCCATTTTTCCATAAATAAAGAAAAATGAAACCATTTAATTTTGAATGCATTCTTTAAAAGGTTAAATACTCAATCAATTTTGCTTTATCTAACTCAACCAGCCTCAGGTGCCATTTGCACTGTTTGCGTAAAAGCCACATAGAAAAATCTATAAACAAAAGACATCTAACAACACAGTGAGAAAACAGGAACCAGGAAGATATACCGTAAATGGGTGCTTTGATAACATTTGGGGGCAGCCTCGCTACACTTTCAGCCCACCTCCCAAAAATTAAGAATTAATAGCATTTGGGGGCAGCCTCACTACACTTTCAGCCCACCTCCCAAAAATTAGGAATTAATAACATTTGGGGGCAGCCTCACTACACTTTCAGCCCACCTCCCAAAAAATTAGACCAGCAACCCACTGAGAAGCAGAGTCTGTTGATGGAGAAAAAATATTTTCTTCTCTGCTATTCATGAGCAGTACTGAAGTTTTTACCACAATATATATTTTCTCATATGTATATTTATATATTTTAACAATAGAAAATAGAATCTGCAGTCCTCCATATGTTGCTTTACCCAAGTTGCTGTTAGCCCCAAACAACATTGCCAATGATATAGGAATAATGTGGTTTGAGAGCCAGCATAATAAAGTGATTTGACTATGGCTCTGGAGACCAAGATTTGAATCCCTGCTTGGTCATGCAATCCAACTGCATGACCTTGGACAAGGCACATTCTGTCAGTCTCAGAGGAAGGCAGCCCCCTCTGAACCAATCAGGCATGTAGCAACATGATGGTCTGCGAAAAGGCCTTACTGGTATATTATTTAAACTGTTATGTTTATTCATATCATGATCTGATCACCATGCTCAATATATCTCATATGCATGGGGGTATTGGGGTAACGATACAAAAGGTTTGCTAGGGTAGACCCTCTTTCACTCAGACTCAGCCCCCCCCCCCCCGAATCAAAATCCTGGCTATGGGCCTGGAACCAATAAAATCCCATGATAGATTTGTCCTAGGGTCACCATAAGTCAGAAATGACTTGAGAGCACACAACAAGTACAATTATTTCTCAATAAGTCATCGAAATAATCAAAAGTAGATACTTCCAGCAGCTAGAGAGTTTGTTGCTGCCATACGCACTAGCTAGCTCATCAGATGGAGTAATTTTAGCATCCTAGGATGCTAAAATAACATAATGTCATGTGACTTCTACCATGAGCCCTGTCTCCAACTGGGGTGAAAGTGTTGCTGGACACTTCCACCCCAGCACAGAAGGTTTCCATGGAGCCAACACGGTGCCTCCCTGCAAGGACAACAATTTCCTCATGTGATGGGGAAAGTCGTGGAGAGAGAGCTGCGCACTAGGCAACAGATTCACTCTTCTTCTCCCTCTTTCTTTGCAGAAGTCTGATGGTGAGGTCCTGAATGAAGGAGAAATAGTGTTATTCGGAGCTAGCTTATGGGTACCTCATGCTGTATCATAAGCAAAGAGGAGGGGATGAGAGGAAAGTGTGTTTTGCACCATAAGAAAATAGCTTATAGCATTCAGAGTTGGGGCAGTAATTCAATTGTAACTAATTGGTTAGTTCTATTGTATGCCTAAATACTCTAAAGGCATCAGATCTTATCTGAGAAGGGTCAATCCTGCATGGGAGATCACTAATGAATGCCACATTATGGAAAAAGGAAGTGGTTAATACCACCTCTGAGTACATTTTGCATAAGAAAACCCTATGAAATTCATGAGGTTGCAATAAATCAACTTGTAATTTGAAGGCATACACACAATTCTACAGCACTGGGAGATGGTACTCCTATGTTCCAACATTCCTCCAAACAAGAGCAGTACAAACACCTCCAAGATGCTAAGTAGACCCTGCCTTTTCAGTCCTCCTGCCCATAAACTGGAAAGTCAGTTTGGACTACAGGTAGTCCCCAAGTTGTGCAATTTATATAGCATGGCCAATATTTGCCTCCCACTTAGACATGCAGTCTTTAATTTGTACCTTCTCAGTTGATCATGCTAGGAGGACTTTGCACATTTTGGCAATCACTTTTCTTCTGAAATTATTTTGTCCCATATTTGGCCTCCATCTTCAAAGCACACTTTCTTATCTCTATTATAGGCCTTGTTCAACTGCCTATACTGAAACCATGATATATTATCATAGTTTTTCTTTTTTGTAATTGTTTTTATTGCAAGTAAAAGATTGCTCCCTAAAGAAAGAAGCTTCCAGTAGACTTAGAATAATAGTACATATTTTGTCTTATTACATAAAAAGAGTGGGAACAATGTATTTTAGTGAAGTAGGAAATTTCAACAGAAAACCTGGCGAACATGAGAAGAAATATTTTTTAAAAAGGAAAAAAAGAAAGAAAAAAGGAAAGGATTTTTTGATTTCTTCCTGGGTCTTTAAAATGTAACTTCTATTTTGTTTCTTTAGAATATCTTTGTATCACAGCCAATTCACGAACTCATTAAAATAAGTCATCCAGGTTGGTGAAGTTTTTGAGACCTCTGACATGAAGCCAACCATATAAATCAAAAACTTCTGTGATGCCACATTCCACACACACGTTATTTTAGGCCACTTTGTAAAGCGTGTTACCATGCTATTTTTCACCTACCTCCAGTTCATCAAGGGCACTTCCAAGAGTCACTGCCTGTGGTATGAGCTGCACCTTTTGGTTTCCGCCTCCTTGAGAAGCATTAGAAATGACATCAAGAGCATTCTGTATTTCATTACAAATGGAGTCTTTGCTGGCTGCAAGAGACATGATGTCTGAATGTTCCAAACAAGCTGAACAAATTGAATGGAGAAGAGGCAAATTTTCCTTCAGAGAGGCACGTGCTGCTGCAATGTCATCTCGTTGATTGTTGGATTTTAAATCCTGCCAAAGAAAGCAGAAATTTGTCTGTACATAGTTCTGGAGAAGAACAGTATTAAACACTAAAAATTAAAAGTAATATAGCAACTATTTCTTTGAACTATGAATTTAAAAGTAATGTAGCAACAACTTCTATGAATCCAGCAAAGAAAAACGATTGACTAATCAAAGAGCACATTTATTTAAATTTATTTTAAACACCAGAAAGTCTGAGACTTTGTTCCTGTTCTTTCCAATTTTATTTTCGAGCTCCATACATTTTTTGTTAATCCCAAAATAGTTTCTCTCAGGTCCCAGTATGATCAGGGAATTTTTATACCAATCCTAAAGATCAATTTAAGCAAAGGTGGCTTTCTCTCAGAACCAGGAAAACACCACTGGGAGAGAAATTTCATCACTTTACTAAACAAAACAATGTCCATTTCAGATATGGAAAAGGGTCAAGGGTGAAATTATTGAAAATTTTCTTCATGATCTCTATAGGGTACAAAGTGGGGGGGGGGGGTTCACTTTAAAAATGTGATAATATACACAAAGCATATGGAACTTGCCCTAGGTCTTGGGTTGAAGGAGGAAAGCAACATCTGTAGAGCACGTTTTGAGTTAAAGTCGAGATTGGGATGATTTTTTCCTTCTTCACTTTCTCTTTCTCTCTCTTCCCTTCTTTTTGTCTCTTTCTTCAAGTCTTCCTTTCTCTACCCTTCTTTCTCTTTTTCCTTCCCTTTCCTCATACCTTTTCTCCTTTCCTTTCTCTTCCTTCTCTCCTCTTTCTTTCTTCCCGCCCCTCCCCCTTTCTTTTCATTTTCATCCCCCTTTTCCACTTTCTTCCTTTCTCCCTCCCCCTTCATCCTGTCACCTTTTTTCCAAGTGACATCACAGAGGACCACTTCGCTTCTCAACAGCCAATCCAGTGACATCAGGGATTCTATGCAGTTATAAAATTCCCTGCTAGAGTGGAAGGGACTCTATTAGCTCCAGTTAAGGAGACAGATACCTTCAGGTAGTTGTATTGATCTTCTCCAGGAACAAGAACATGTAAACAAATGTTTTTCTCTTTAGTTGCAGTAGCAGTATAAACACAGCATATACAGTATGTACAGACTATCTCTACAATCCTCCAACATATCATCCACATCAACTTGCAACAACCCTTATCAAACTAACACATGGTTACTACAATCTATATACTATAGTCTCAGGAGTAGCCACCACACCCCAATTACAATAACACATGTGGATAAACCTGAGACACTGATCCTATTATCACTTTAAAAATGTTGTGTAACTTTCAAATCCTGACAAAACATACATACATATTTTGGCATAGATAGATAGATAGATAGATAGATAGATAGATAGATAGATAGATAGACAGATACACAGACAGATACATAGACAGATAGGTATGTGTGGGGCTGGCTCCTCTTTTTCCTTATATGCTAGGAACTGGAACCATGTTTCTACCCATTACTACAACTGTATCTTAATTTCCTGGAAATCTTCATTGGACCAACAATGTTGAGGCTCAGCGTCACAGCAACATATCTACTACCAGTTGCAGGAGAAGGAGGAGTGATGCTGAGACAGACTTGGATCAGCGTCAGCTGAAGCGCATTCGTGATATCATTTTGGCCCCGAGCGATTCGGAGGACTTTGCAGGGTTCGGCCCTGAGGACTTAGTAGAGTCAGATTACCGGGGAGTAAAGCGGGTGGCCAGTGAGTCTGACAGTGATAACGATACCCTGAGTAAGAGACTTAAAGATACAGCTGACAATTCCAGTTCAGGGGAATTGGAAGCCAGTGAGGATGAAATGGAGGAGGAACTGGATTGGACTCTTGTTAAGAACATTAGGGACATATGCACCCAAGCTACATCCAGCGATGAGTTCGAAGGGTTCCAAGATACTTGGAAGGAAGGTTCATCTTGGCAGGATCAGGAATTAGATCAACGATGGCAGCGTTGGCGTGGCCAAGAGGCAGCAGCTGAGGGAAATGAGTCAGATGCTAGTAATGAAGATCAATCAAGTGATGGTGACTGTGAATAAATTGAGCACGCTGGGATGTGTAAGTTTGCAGAAGACAAAGTGTTGCTTATGTGCTTTGTGCTGCCTAACCTCTGTTTGGGTCCCTGGTATCCAGCTTTCCTGCCTTGTGTATCTTGACTTCGGAACCGTTCTACGTGAGTGACTTCATCCTGCCTCTGACCTTGGAATCGGCTTTGGACTACGCAACTGCTTATCGGACTTTGTTATTGTTCTGGACTCTGCTTGATATTGAAGCTGTTTTGATTTTGTGTTTGCCACACGCTCAAGTTAACTCCTGCTTTCCTTTTTGCTGAGCTCAAGTCCTGGAAGATCCGGCTTATCACTTCTTTGTTTACCTGCTTGAAGGCTCTTTTGTTTTGCTAATTACACTGCTGTTAAGTGCTGTTTTCAGTTAGAGACTCATTAAAGACTGCTATTAACACTTCAATTGCTGTGTAAGACAATCTCTGCTACCTGAGTCACAACAAACAACTTATTAAAGCAGAACATGTCACCTCATTGATATATTGCTATTCTCACCCACAACCTGTTCATTCATAGATATAAATGTTTGTCTCTAGACACTTCACTCCATGCATCTGATAAAGTAGAGTTAGAACCTCATCAGATGGTCTCCAAGCTCTGTTTCCATGTGCTTAGGAAGCAGAGCACCAGAGAGTTTCACTGTAAGTGCCCTTGCATCATGTGATGGCCTCCGTGAGGCTCCCATAGGGCTCCATTTCCTAAGCAAATGGAAATGGCACCCCAAGGCCATCTAAAAAGTTGGGTGCTTTACAAAAAATCTTGAAAATTAAAATCCCTCTAAAACCTGAGTTATTTCTATTGGGTATAAAATATATGAAAATTGAGGAAAACACAGATAAATTGATATTCCTATCCACTACGGCAGCCAGGATGTGCTACGCCAAAAGGTGGAGAAAGGAAGACATACCAACAATAGAAGAATGGAAAAGGAAAATATTAGATGTTAAAAATATGGATAGTCTTAGTTATCTAATACAAAGAAATAAAGGAATAGCAGAGATATGTACAGACTGGACACCACTAAATGAATATTTAATGCAAGAGAAGTGAGAAAACAATAAATAAAAGAAAATATGTTTTAAAAAGTTAACTTGTAAATTTACAATTATCTTAAGTAGACTAGTCGAAAAATTATATAGGTTCAGGAAAATGAAGAAGGAAAAGGAAGAAACCATCCTTGAAGAACCCTGGAAGTCAAATTGAAGAAGAAGGGAAACCTCGGGTGGTGAAAAACCACTTCTTGACTCTTCTTTTTAACTTTCTGTGCTTTTCCCCTCCCCCCTCTCGTCTTTCTTCCCCCTTCCCGTTTTCCCATACTCTTATTTCTTGCTTTCCTTTTGATTTTTAACCATTATGTAACATAAAAAACTTCAATAAAGAACATATTAAAAAAAAGTTGGGTGCTACCCAACTTCAAGCAGCAAAATTCAGGGGACAGGGGGAAAGCAGGGAGAAGATGATGAAAGGCAGAGTAAACATGTGGGAGGCCTGACTATCTCTGAAGATAGGGAAAGATGAGTGAGAACAGTGTAGGGCAGTTCAATCTGCTTTCCCCCACTTTCCACCCACTCGTCTAATGAGGTCATTAGTCTAGGAAAGCTTAACTTACCAACTTCTTTCTTTAGATAGTCTCAAAGGTTCTACAAGTTCCCTTCATGTACTGACAGCTCTCAGTGTCTCATCAGGCAACCAATCCCAGAATTCCATAGAAAAAAAGCCATACCAGTTAAACTTTGTAATGTAGATTCACTTAGAAGAAACCTATAACCTGTCACTATAAAAATAAAGTATCACTTTTTAAATATACAAAGCACTTCATAAACATAAAATTATTCTAATACAGTGTTTCTCAACCTTCCTAATGCCATGACCCCTTAATACAATTCCTCATGTTGTGGTGACCCCCAACCATAACATTATTTTCCTGGCTACTCCATAACTGTAATGTTGCTAATGTTATAAATCGTAATATAAATAACTGATATGCAGGATGTATTTTTATTCACCGGGCCAAATTTGGCACAAACATCCAGTACACCCAAATTTGAATACTGGTAGGGTTGGGGGATTGATTTTGTCATTTGGGAGTTGTAGTTGTTGGGATTTATAGTTTACCTACAATCAAAGAGCATTCTGAACTCTACGAATGATGGAATTGAACCAAACTTGGCACACAGAACTCTCATAATCAATAGAAAATACTGGAAGGTTTTGGTGGGCATTGACCTTGAGTTTTGGAGTTGTAGTTCACCTGTTGTAGCTCAGCGTCCTGACAGAGTTGCTACTCCTAGTAGCAGTGGGTCTCCTCGGGAGTCAGAGAGTGAAAGGCAGCGTCAACACATTAGAGAAATCCTCCTAGCACCAAGCGACAGTGATACGTTTATGGGCTTCTCAGATTACGACATGGGGAATGGGGAAGCATCTAGAGGTGTTAAAAGGACTGTTTGTGAGCCAGAATCTGAAGGAGAAGCACAGAGGAAGCGTATTCGGGAGTTACTAAGGGAACCTACTTCTGAGGAGGACTTTTTGGGCTTTGAGGGGGATTTGGGGTCTGGAAGTGACATGGAAGGGGAGGAATTGTATTGGACTCAGGTACAGAATATAAGAGACATCTGCAACCAGCCCACTTCCAGCTAGGAGTTCGAGGGGTTCATGGGGGACTGGCAGCCAGGTGATTCTTGGAAGAATCTGACCCGATAGTAATTGGCAAAGGTGGAGAGATGGGCATTCAGCTGCAGACTTGGAAGCAGGTGATAGCGATGATGAAAGGGTGGGGAGCTCATCAAGCTCTGACAATGAGCTTTAAGATATAAGGGAGTTCTGTTGGCACATCTAGTTGCAGGAAGCAAAGTGTCCAAATGGGACCTTACTCTTTGCCTTGCCAAACTCTCACCTTTGGGTCCCAGGCTCCAGCCTCGTGAGTTCCTGTTGTTC